GGTGCTTTCCTTTACCCACGGGTGTTGGCATGAGGAGTTGATTAACACTAAGCAAGAAGTAAAATTAAACTTACTCTAAGTCAAGGGTGATGTTGAAGCAGGACACGCGAATAGCGTTGGGTCTCCGCATTTTGTCTGAAGGGTGTTCAAAGTGGAGGCAAGAACTGATTTCTTCTCTTGAACAGGTTTTAGGAATCTGCCTTTACTCAGATGTCTAGCGAGAGTGTGACGTTTCCTCTAAGTTTAGCAACTTGGACTTAGATCCAAGAGCTTGGACAAACCTGCAGAGTTTGTGTCCTGTCTCCAAGCTCATTGACATCAGCAGTATGAGGGGCAAGGGGGAGGGGAAGCCTGCAGAGATGTCCGGGAGGTTGGGAGGTGCTGTCAGTCCTGCTCTGTCTCCCTGATTCCTGCCTTAGAAGGAGCGCCTGCATTCCCGGCAGAGCGCTCAACCCTTATTCCCCAGGGGAAGGAGAAACCCCTTTGGGAACCAGTTGGCTCCCTCCAGTCTTTATGTGCGTTGGGAGGCTAAGCAGCTGGGAGACCATAGCTTGGCCAAGTCCTCCCAGCTGAGAGACAGGAGGGGCCTTCTACTCAAGGATTCGGGCCCGCCGGCCTTCTAGCCTTCCTGGGGAAGAGCGGGCCGCCTCACCAACGGTCTCGCCTCTGCCAGTCCCAGCCAGGCATGATTCACTCACTTATTTTAATGAGTTTCATTCCAAGACATCAAAAATACTAAATATAAAATAGAACAAAAAGCATTTCAAAGACCTGTAGCCAAGCAGAAAAAAGTCCACCAAAGTTAGTAATGAAGGGATGTATCATTTAGCACCTTCCAGGATTGATAAAAAGTGTTCCATGATTTTTTTTTTTTTAATTGGAAAATGATGAAATGATTCTGGGCATTTAGTGTGGGCCAAGATTTTTTTTTTTTTTTTGCATAGTCAAATTTTTTAAGGAGCTGATTATCCAGTTTGAGCCAGGTCTTTGATGGGTTTGTGGTTTTTTTGTTTGTTTTGCTTTTGGCTTGTTTTTATCTCCTGCCTTTTGGGGGCTGATTCAGTACTTAAGAATGAAGCTATTAGCAAATTAATTAATTTAACCCATGCTTCTTCCCTCCCTGTGTGTGTGTGGGCGGGACACACACACATATTTGTATATGTGTATATATCCTGTTTTAATCATTATGGTACCTTTGTGAGATAGGGATTATTCTCTCTGCCAAATAAAGAAACCATGGTTTAGAGAAATTAAGTGACACTTGCCTAGAGCCTCTCGGCTTTCTGAGTTTGTCCTGAAGTCTATGGCGCCTTACCGTGGGAGGGCAGAATGTTGTGATTTCCATCCTTTAATTATGGAATCTAGAGAGTAGAGACCAATATAAATAACCAACTTTGAATCAATATAACCTATACATTGCTTTTAGAATTTAAGAACATGGCAAATATGAGAGAATTTGGAAAACCTCAACAATAAGGAGTCCGATTATAAATCACAGTCATTTGTGAGTTAGCAAATACAGCTAGTTTGGAATGCTGCAAAGCAGAATTTAATTTATTTTGATTATGTACTTAAAGAGTAACCAGAGCTATATTGTGTTTGGTCAACAACATGGAGGAGCTGAGTTCTTTCCTCATCCGGTGGGCCTGGAGCTGTCCTGCCTTCCTTGATACCCAGCATCCCACGTTGCTGGACTCCAGAAATAAGTGTGTTTTTCAGTTCAGTGTTCTTGGTTTGGCATTTCTGTGACTGTAACAAGGACCTGCGTTACGTGTCGCGCCGGATCCTTCTAAAGTCATTCCTCAGTCCCTGAATCTCCTGACCTCCAAACCTCTTACCTTCCTGCAACTTTTTCTGACTCCGGTCTCCAAAGCTTCCTGTTCCCACCTTCAGAGAGTTACCAGCCGTGACAGTAGGGGCTATGAATGGGGAGGCCCTAAAATGCCTCTGCGGTCATTGATTATATAGCAGTAAGAGTACATACAACATTGCCTGGGTATTTGGTTTTGTTTTAGGCTCTCATAAGAATAAAGATAGCTTCAGGGTACCTGGCTGGCTCAGATGGGGGCAGCATGTGACTGTCGATCTCAGGGTTGTGAGTTCAAGCCCCACATTGTGTGTAGAGATTCCTTAAAATAAAGTCTAGGGCGCCTTGGTGGCTCAGTGGGTTGAGCCTCTGCCTTCGGCTCATGTTATGATCTCAGGGTCCTGGGATCAAGCCCTGCATCGGGCTCTCTGCTCAGCAGAGAGTCTGCTTCCCCCTCTTCTCTCTGCCTGCCTCTCTGCCTACTTGCCATCTCTGTCTGTCAAATAAATAAATAAAATCTTAAAAAAAAAAGTCTGAAAAAAAAAAGAAAAAGAAGAAAGAAGATAGCTTCTGAAAAGACACTTATTTCACAACATATTTATAAAGTAAGTGGTAAGGATAAGCAGTTTTGTAATGGAGCTGCTCCATATGTCTTATACGTTACAGGAGAGAAAGATGTCTGCATCTCCGAAGATGATCAGGCTTTCAAGCTTGGCTACAGCTTCAGTGAGGAAAGTTAATGTAGCTGTAGTTGTTAACATTGGCCTTGACCGAATCAGGCCGACATGAGTATGATGTTCATGGCAATCCATTAGGCTTTTAACTGAGGCTTGGCGTTTCTCCTCCTCTGTCTCTCTAGCTAAAAGAAGTCTTCCGGAAACAGCTGGAGAAGGCGGAGTATGAGATAAAGAAGACCACAGCTATCATTGCCGAGTATAAGCAGGTAATGAGCCACTGGGCTTTGGATTGCTGTAAAAGTGATTATTTGTATTTTTTTCTTTGGGGGGAAAAATATTTTTGTCTTCAGAGTTCCCAGAACAGTGATTGCCACGCATTCATTAAATTTGGTGACCTCCTTTCTCCTCCGAAATAAACAGTGGTTGGATGTGCTTGCTGATAAGGCAGGAGGTGTAACTGAGCAAAACGATCTGTTGGCTGTTTACAATGTTTGGTAGATTCCGAGGAACAGGAAAGTTGATCATTACCACTGGGATCCTGTCTCTGCGCTCCTCAGAAGCGCATTTCCAGTAGACCTCAGGAGTAACACTTTGCCTCTTTGCCAAGAACTAAAGTTTAGTGATTGTAGCAAAAAACAGTATCCAGGGAATCCGTGTGTCCTTCACTGTCTCAGTATAGAATGCGGGAGCTCTTTTTCCCACTTGGCTGTGTGGCCTTAACCAGCAATGGCCAAGGCTAGCGGGAAGCCTTCTGTGGGGACCCTTTGATCACTTAGTGGAGGGCTTGCTTCCCTTGAGGATATTCCAGGCCCCATCACCCGAGTGCTCCCAGAAAGCCCTCGTGCCAGCCTGCGTAGTATCGTCTTGTCTCTGCTGCTCATGCTGGGACATGGCAAGGACTCCGCATTGCTGAGAAACCCTTGAATGGGCTACTGCAGTTCCAGCTTTCCAGAATTAATCGAGGGACCGAATGTCACCTGCTTATCCTAAGAATGTCCCTGGGGTCTTCTGCCTCATGTAGGAGTTTGAAGTCAGATTGGTATTCTTTTTAAAAATGTGCTGCTTGTGAATAAAATTTATGTTCCTTGTGGAAAATTAAGGAAGTGTAGAAAAGCACAAAGAACCCCCCCCCCCCGCTTAACCTTGCCAATTAGAAATAGTCACTGTAATATACTGAATATAAACTGTTGCTGTATAAATAAAAATGTCATTTATATTGTTTGTGCTAATTTTTGCAGCTGGTTCACTTCATATATTATGAACATCTTTTCAGAAGGACTTTTCTCCTTCGTGGAAGATTACTTAGAAATAAGGCTTCAGAGCTGTCTTACTCTCTTTGCTGATAATCAGTATGTGTTTATTTAATACCTGCTAGCTGAGAGGCTTGATTCTTTGGGGGAGTAAAAGATGAATTAATTCAATTTCTCTCCTTCAGAAGCTGATCTTGTAATGGGGAGATAACACCTGTGCACAGATAAGAGGAAAGGGAACTTACTGCCCATGGGAAATGAAACCCTTCCTGGAGGAGGGGTGATTTGGGTATGTGGAGGCAGCGAATGAGGATAGAAGTAGGGAACAGAGGAACAGCACATGCAAAGGCATGGAGGTAGATAAGTGAAAAGAACTAGTTTTGTTTGTCAAGAGTTTCGGGGACGGAAAAAGAAGCAGAGATGAGTTAGGTTCCAGTTCAAAGAGGGGCTTTGGGTTAGGCAGAGGAGTTTGGATTTTATTCTGTTTACAGCAGAATGTTTGAGCAAGAAAGTGGCATAATCAGGGACATGTTGTTGGCATCGATCTGTCCTAGTGAGAAACATAGAACCAAGTGGAAAGACCCACTGGCAAAGATACAGACAGTAAGAGGCTAACCACAGAGTCCAGGTGAGAAAATAGCCTTAAACTAAAATAAGTAGTAATGAAAATGGAGAAGAGGAAGACACAAAATATAGTTATTTTTTGCTGGACAAGGGAAAAGACTGATGGTGATCCCGAGATTTTCAATTTGGGTAACTAGGAGAGGGATGATTAGACATTAACCAGTCCAAGGAACAGTAAGGACCAGGTGCCATGGAACTTGCCATTACCGCAGATGTTTTTTTTTTCATCACCACATTAGGCCATGGGTGGCCGCCATATGCAGCACTCTTCAAAATAGTAATCCTTGGGACTGTTCTTGAATATTATCTGGCAGGCACTACCAGTAATGTAAAAGGCAACAGACCCATCTGTCTGAAGATAATTAGTATATAAAACATAATCCAAATGCATTCTATAGTTGGAATTGGCTATGATTGGCTTTATTTTGGAATCTTTGGGGTTACTTGAAAGGGTATATGGTTTGCCAAAATTATTAGGGAGATTGCTTCTTTTTCACATCAGCTAATACAGTCCTATTCATTATTTCCAGGCTTGGATCTGGAGAAATTGGAAACAACTCCACAAGCAGGCCCTGGTCTCTAGAGCCTTTTTTTTTTTTTTTTTAATTTATTTATTAGAGAGAAAGAGCATAAGGAGGGGGGAGGGGGAGAGGGAGAAACACTTCCCACTGAGCTGGGAGCTTGAAGGGGGTTGAGGGAGTCAACTATCTAAGGACTCTATCCCAGGACTCCGGGATCATGACCTGAGATGAGGGCAGATGCCTTCAAAACAGACATTGAAAAAAAAAATCCCATGGGTGCCTGGGTGGCACAGTTGGTTAAGCGTCTGCCTTCAGCTCAGGTCATTATCTCCAGGTTCTAGGATCAAGCCCCACATCAGGCGCTCTCTCTCTCATAAATAAAAATCTTTTTTAAAAAAATGCCTGTTTTGTCATAGAGGTAGCTCATTTATATTTTTAGTTCAGATTGCATTTTAAAATTTGACATCCCCTAACTTTTCTTATTCTGTTTTTTTTTCAAAACAAAGATTCATATGTCACTCAGGGAATTGTAACATCTAGAATTTTGTTTTTTTTAAGATTTTATTTTATTTAACAGAGAGAAAGAGATCATAAGTAGGCAGAGAGGGGGGCGGGGGAGGGGAAGCAGGCTCCCCGATGAGCAGAGAGCCCTACGCGGGGCTCGATCCCAGGACACTGAGATCATGACCTGAGCCCAAGGCAGAGGCCCAGCCCTCGGAGCCACACAGGTGCCCCTAGAATTTTTTTTTAAGCAAATAGTTTTGTTCGTTTGGTTGGTTGGTATTGGCTTTGAAAGCACGTATTTCTATCTGCCCCTACTACTTGGTGTTAGCACCTTATTTCAGAATCAATAATGAGATTTTCTTTAATGAGCACTTCTTATAGGCCATGTGCCATATCGAATCCCTTGCATACATTTTTTCCCCATTGATGATCACAGCACAGCAATTTGTACTTATGAGGGAACTGAAGCTTAGAAAGGTTAGTGAATTCGCCCAAGGACACAGTGCTGGAAAGAACTAGAGCTGGACCTCACGCTTGTCATTTCACACCATATTGCCAAACCACTTGATCAGAATTTTAGTCTTTATTATTTTCTGGGCATTTAAACTCTGTTTTATCCATCCCCTCTGCCACTTTTAGAGGAAACTTGAGGTCATTGAAAACAGAGACTCTCCCTGTGGCAGTGCACAGGAGAAGTTTCTGGTCCAGAATTCTTTTCATCCCGTTTCCAGAATGGAACTTTGCACAAAGTGGATCCCCAGCAGAGATTCTGTAGATTGATTCCAAAATAGGACGGGAATTCACTGGAAATAGCCACAAAGTCTTGTGACAGAAAGAAATCAAAACACCCCATGTGTTCTTCTACTAATTCAGATGAAAATACGCTTTCCGCGTGGAAAACACTCTCAGGCTCTCCGCTGTGTGTGGACTGCATCTGCGGGGCTGTTCTTTTGCGAGGTTTTCTTCTGGCCTCGGAGAAGCCAGAGCCATCCGTGAGTGGTTACACAGTGATGTGCACATCAGAGCTGTTCCGCTTCCTAATAAAGACACTCTTTTCTTTCCTTCAGATCTGTTCCCAGTTAAGTACCAGACTGGAGACACAGCAGGCCGCCAGCAGGGAGGAGCTGGAAGTGGTTAAGGTGAGGCGGAGCGAGAACGCTCTGTGCTGTGGCTTCTTGCAGATTCACGCAGTCTTACGTCAGTACCGGAGGGGAAGCCCCGCCCCCCGTGCGTGACCACGCCCCCGGCCGCCCAGGTTCTGACGTCACGCCCACCCTGCCCCTCTCAGAGGGTGGAGAGCGGACTCTGTCTCTGGCGGGTGTGATGCTCCTCGCTGCCCGCAGAAAGGCTGTGTTCCCATCAATGTCAGGGCTTGTCGCAGGCAGGTCGTGGGAGCTCAGCCTTGTCACAAGAGGCTCCTGAGCCTTCTTGCACGGTGGACGCCTGGGAGCCCTCAGCATCCCGATGGGGCCAGAACTGATGTGGCTTCCGCGTGGTGTGCCACCGGGCAGCACCCGCCCCTTGCTCTCCACCAGTTTTTTGGAGGGTTGTTTTTAAAGGAAACTGTAGGATTTCTTTACATGCTGCCCCCTGGTGGTGAAACTCCTTTTGTTGCCTACGTGAGAAAAGCGATTGCTAATTCCCGTAGAATCCACAGCAGAGCAAATGAATCCCTGTCTTCAGAAGCAGTGCTGGCACAGCTAGCTCTTGTGACCTGCGTGCAGAAACCGGACGTGGTTCTCTTTGAGTATATTCAGGTTTGATGCTGGTGCATAAATGCATTCTAGGCACGTTAGCATATAACTGAACGACTGGGACAAGTTATTTACCTCTCTAAGCTGTATTTTGGGGCCTGTAAAATAGAGACAACATTACCCACCTCAGCCGGTTATTTTGAAGATTAAATAAGTGCTTAGTTTAGTGGTTGGCACACAGTAAACCCATAGTTTTATAACTTTAAAACCTGAAAATCTGAGACATGAGAACTGAAAATATGAACCTTGTTCTGACTTTGTAGTCCAAGTGTTTTTTTCTTATTTCCTGTTCTAAAACAGTCTGAGATTATTAGTGACTGTGACGTTGGTCATCTCCCTGCCCAAACCTGCCAAAATTTTGGCCTATGTCTTCCCTCTCTGGTCTACCTTTACCTTCTTCCTCCTTGGCCTTTATCATCCTTTTTTTACACTAACACTCAGTTGATGATGTTCCTTGGCATAAAAGGGTTAACTATCCTGAACTAAAATCTTCATGGAAATATAAATGAAATGGATGCATATGGGCCACTCAAGGCTTTATTGAGCATCCATGTGGACAGCTTTTAGACTAATGTTTTACAGAAATTATGCATAACAAAAGTTTAGAATTTCCCTACAGGAGCCAGTTATATGTATGCATGTGAAATATTTAGGGAATAGTACAGAGGCATGTAAGTCAGTGCTGAGTTGGATGACACGGACAAGCAGGGTTTTGAGAAAGCAAAATCGTAAGAACTGCAGACCAAAGATGACTTTGTAGAGGAGGCTGGACTGAAGCAGGACTTCTGTTAGAAGATTTCTAGACTTCTGTTAGAAGGATTTAGAAAGGACATTCTGGAAGAAACTGTGACTGAAGACCCAGAAATCAGAATGAGTCTCATTAAGGAAGCTGATGTGCTTCGAGTATTAAGGAATAGAGGGAAATACTGGATATTATAAACAATAGACAACTGGCTTGTCTAATGAAAGGCCGTGATATTCAGGAAGAGGAACCTGAACTTGTTTTGGCTGAAAACAACAACTAACACCTAGTAAACACATCCTGTGTGTACTTTTCCAAAGGTTATCCCATTTTATCTTCTCAGCTTCCTGTGTAGGTAGATACTATTTATCTTTTTCTTATTAAAAAAATATTTTATTTATTTATTTGAAGATAGAGGTAGAGCCCAAGGAGAGGGAGCAGCAGGCAGAGAAAGAGAGAGAAGCAGACTCGCTGATGAGCAGGGAGCCCGATGCAGGACTCAATCCCAGGATGTGAGATCATGACCTAAGCTGAAAACAGATGTTTAACCAACTGAGCCACCCAGGTGCCCCTATTATATCTTCTTTTTAATGACTTATTAGGTCTTGTTTTTACTGACAGTGATCACCAAAACGGGTCATTCATGATCTCAAGGTCACAGTGAGTAGTAATGCCGGGATTTGAACCCTGGGAGTGAGACTCTACTCTCCGTACCCTTGGTCACTGTACTGTCCCATAGCCTCTTGCCCCAACGCTACTTCCTTTCATCTCTTGTTTGGCGTGATGCTCTAGGTTTTGATGTTTCCATCCTCCTGTAACACCATTCCCCTTTCAGGTAACCCTTTGCACTGGAGTTAGAATGAGCTTTCCCCAGGATAAATGTGATTTTCTCACTCTGTATTTCAGTTTAGAATGAGATTGGCCACAGGGAGGAAACCCAAAATAATAATGGCTTAAACACAAAAGACGTTATCTCACTTAAAAAAAAGAAAAAAAAAAGTCTGGGGCTAGAAAGATCCTTGGTTTTTATCAGCAATCCACACTAGTCAGGTATCAGTGACCCACACCCTCAGCGTGGGCTGCCATCTTCAAGGTCACTTGAAAGTCAAACCTGTCACTGGAGTAACCTCCATCACACCCACCTTCCAGGGTAGAATTTGGGGCCAGAAGAAAATGCCAGGGTCCCAGAGCCCACCTCCAGCTGGGTGAGCTCTAAGTGGCTTTCCTTGAAGCTCCATACCACACTTTGCTGACCGGTCAGAACTGAATCTCATGGCCACACTGAGTTTCAGGGGAGCCTGGGAAATGGCAGCTTTTAACCGGGCAAACTGCTAGCCCACATGAAGTCAGAGTTCTGTTAGTAAGGAAGATGGGGAGGTGGACGCTGGCTGAGACCCTGCAGCCTCGTGAGGCTCAGTGCTCTCTCTCCAGCGGGGAGCCCAGGATGTAGGGAGTGCCTTCGCTGTAGGACGGAATCGGGATTCCATAGCATTACATTGGGGAGCCTTTACCTCGGGGCCATGGACAACGCTTCTCACTTCCTGCCTCTTGCTGCTCTGCCGTTTCCTCCCCGCTGGAGCTTGCTCACACTCCCCGCAGTTCTCTGAAGGACCAGTGGCTTTGCACACCGTGTTTCGCCCTGCTGAGATGTCCTCCTCCCTCGGGGAGCCTGTTCCTTCATGCGGTTCTGCCTAATAGAACTGCCTACCCAGCTTGGCAAACTTTCAGTCATTTAAGATCCAGATCAAAAGCCACCACTTTTAACATTTTATTTAGTCTACCATAAATACATAAAACTAATACTTGCTGTTTGCCTATTTTGTGCCAGTAGTGGGCTGATTATTCTTCAAGGTTCTGAAGACGCTTACAAGATATCTTTTAAGTGTCTAATGAATCTTAATCAGGTGGGAATCGGAAGAGTACATTAAGGATGGGATAAGAAAGCAATCAGAGTGTGTGTTGTAATGAGCACCGGGTATTGTAAAAGACCGATGAATCACAGACCTGTACCCCTGAAACAAATAAAACGTTATATGTTAATTTAAAACAAACAATCAGTCAGTGGGGGCTAAGAAGGTGACCTCGAGGGATTCAGGCCTGGCATGAGGAGAGCTCGGACATGTCAGAGAAATAATGGCCAGCTGAATATGGAATGAGGGAGAAGGGAAAGAAGATGAGCCCAGAGTTCAGGCCTAAATGGTGGAGACAGGCATAGTGACACAGAAATGTGGGGAGAATTGGGGTGTGTGTGTGTGTGTGTGTGTGAAGAGAAGAGTATAGTTTCAGTTATGGACATATTATAATATGTAGTAGTACAGTAAAATAGGATGCTCTGTAATATCTTTTAGCTCTCAACTATTTTTGGAGCTGTTGTAAGTAAACAAGAGCACCACTGTCTCGAAGAGTTGCTGTTGGTCGGTACTGTGCGCCTGACTGGCAGGCCAGACATGAGGCAGAGTTACTTGGATTACCTTGAACAATAGTGATTCTCTTTGCTTAAAGCTGAACCGAAGGACAGGACATAAACTTCGTTGCAAGCATAGATTTGGATCAGTCACAGTGACCTTTCTCAGTCTCCTGTGGACTGGCTACTTACGCGCTGAGTTTCTTCACTTGCGGCGGGGGTGGGAAGAGTACGCGGTCTTACAGAACCTCTAGGATTCAGGAGACACTGCTTGGAGAGCCTATGGCGTGGGGCTCTAGAAAGACTAATGGCAGCACAGAATTTCCAGGACAGGTTTCACAGAGATGCTCTAATAGTTTCCATTTCCAGGGAAATGGATATTCTAGAGATACTTTAAGAAGCAAGGAGCACTGAACTTGAGCAACTGAGTTTTGTGCTAAAGCCATTTTGGCTGCAGCGCAAGAAATACAATTACCTTCAGAAGTGGGCTTGCCTTTGAGGACCACAAGCAGTGTCTACGTCTTGTTTCTGGAAGTGATTTCTGCCGTGAAGTCACTTGATGTGGGTTCTCTCTTTGGCTATTTCAGGGTAAAATGATGGCCTGTAAACACTGCAGTGACATTTTCAGCAAAGAGGGGGCCCTGAAGCCGGCGGCCGTCAGCAGGGAGGAGCAGGGGGTGGACCTGGATGACGAGAAGGACAACCTGAAGAAGCAGCTGAGGGAGATGGAGCTGGAGTTGGCGCAGACCAAGCTGCAGCTGGTGGAGGCCAAGTGCAAAATCCAGGTCAGTGACTGGAGGAGAGAAGCGGTCCATGCTCTAGGACACGTTCTCGTCCTTTGGCTCCATCCATCCAGCTCGGCATCTGAAGAGGTTTCCGCATACGATGAACACATTTTTTGCCCACTAATGTGTCCTCCAGAGTCACATTTTACATCATTTTTAAAATTTTTTTTTAAGATTTAATTTATTCATTTGACAGAGGAGAGACATAGCGAGAGAGGGAACACAAGTAGGGGGAGCAGGAGAGGGAGAAGCAGGCTCCCCGCTGAGCAGAGAGCCCAATGCAGGGCTTGATCCCAGGACCCTGAAATCATGACCTGAGCCGAAGGCAGAGGCTTAACCTACTGAGCCACCCAGGTGCCCCTACATCATTATTTTTAAATAGTGACATAAACACATAGTTTTAAATGAAAGCGCAATAATTAAAATAATATCCTATGAGAACTTAAGCATATGCTTTTTTAGTTTACCCTGAGATTTCTGTTGCCAAGGTCCCTTCTCATCGAACTTCAGCCGCTGTGGTAGCTGATCCTGAAAATGAAAGGCCAGACCTTCTCTGTTGTCCTCCTGACAGGTGGACATTGGCTGACACTCATTCTTTGCTTTGGAGCTTTTTCTCCTTCATCTTTACTTAACTTTACCAAATCCCTTTCTCCAAAATCTCTGCCCATATGGGAAGATAACATAATTAGGAAAATAGTCCTGGCTTTTGATGGACTATTCCCTATTTCCCTTCTCCCAAGGTCCTTGCCTACCACCATAACCTGCCATGGCTCTAACCATGGCTCCACTAGCGACCCTGAACGGTTTCTGTGCTGGCCCGGGATGTTCTTGGGGTGAAGGCCATGTGTTTGGAACTAGAATTCAGTCATGCTTATAACATCAGCAGAAGTTCTGTCCATCCATATATTTGTTGTTTCAAACATGTTGTAACCTAAACCTAAATTTGGGCCAAAAACATTGCATTAAGAAGCCAGTTAAAATCTCTCGTGGGTTTTGTGGGAGGACAGCTATAGCTATACAGACCTGGGGATTCCATAAAACTATACTTCGGGGTTTTTTGGGCAGAGAGAAAACACATAATTCAGATGATTTTCTTTTCTTAATCAGGAACTGGAACATCAGAGAGGAGCCCTTATGAATGAAATCCAAGCTGCAAAAAACTCTTGGTTTAGCAAAACCCTGAACTCTATCAAAACGGCCACGGGCACCCAGCCACTGCAGCCACCGCCAGCCACCCAGCCACCCAAGGAGAGCACATAGTTCCAGCCTCCCCAAAGCACAAGAGCACAACGATCAAAGGGACAGAAACCCAGGAGGAATCTCCCAGTATCCCTTTGCAGGAAAGTAGAGGAGGCCAGAAAGCAAGCCAGGATCTCTCAGTAGCTCTCACTCGTTCTCGTTTGACACTTTGCAAAGGGATGTTATTTAAACTGACCTGAGTTATGTTGAATACCTGCTTTCGAGCTTCTCATGGAAGGCCAAGTTCGGTTCCACCATAGTATTACCCATTATTTTATATGCCTGATGTTTAGTTGGAAATAAGTAATTCAGAACTAAATGCTTTTAATTTAGAACTAACTATTCATAATTACTTTTATCTTACATAAAAATGGAGATGTCTTTTATTCCAAGGTTGAAGTGATAGGATATTTGTCACAGCAAAAAAACAAAAACAAAAAAAAAAACAAAAAAGAAAAAAAAGAAAAAAGAAAAAAAAAGAAAAAAAGATTGAAATCTAAACCTCTTATCTTTTCAGGATTTATTCAGATAAAGCACACTGTGGGACCATTCATGACGACTGTCAGGTTTCTTCCTGAAAGTGACTCCCTGGAAAACAATAATCCTGTCCAAAGAATAAACCTGGGATTGAACAGTCCTCCCAAAAAGAATGAGTTTATTTTCATTTTCTGTTGCGTATATCTGGAAGTGCCAAGAACCATGGAATAAGATAGACTATTGAGAAAACAACCTAGAGGAAAGGAACAGAAATTTTGATAAACACAGGATAAGATAAATTATTCGGCCGTAGTATTCCAACAGGTCCTTTTGAGAAACTCTACGTGCGAATTGCCGATTCCTAAGTCTGAACACAGTTGTGACTTCCAGCAGACTTGAAGTCAGAGGTGGCTACTGTGAGTTGGCAGCATTAGGGAACCTTTACTGGAAAAGCCCAGAGAGACCCAGGTTCAGCCAATGTGCTTCAAATGAAATAGAGAACCAGGGACAGAGTATGTCATTTAAGGTTGACATATATTTGCTAAGTAAACACTAATATACTCTACCTTTTTAAAGTTACAAAATGGAAAATTAAGGTCAGTTTCACTTCATCTTAGTTTATTGTTAGACAACTTGAACTATTTCTGTATCTCCCTAAAAATGTGCCCTTGGTACCCCAGATGAAGAGATGCAAATGCATTGGTAACATTTTTGATTGAATATAAAATCTTTATAGAAATACTTATCTCATGGAAAGGTAAAGCTATTGTTTAAAAGTTGGTCGAAATAGTTTTTTTTAAATTATATTTAACATATAATTGAATATTCTTTGAATTGAACATATATTTAACATATAATTGGAAAAAAAACCCTATTTCCACCAACTTCTATATATATAGTCCTTGCAGGAAATTCTTTGGTAACAGCAAAACTAATTTTCCCATTTTCTAAACTAGTTTGGAGGCCTAGGTCCTTTTACGCCAACCAAACTGCCGTCAGCGATGTACAGTAACATTTATTGATACTCATCCTTCCCTTCATTGTTGAACATATTCTTTGCAAAGGATCTTAAACTCTGTAGCCAGAGTGATTCTCATCTGTGCCATATGTTGCAATGAAAAGTTACACATTCTTGGAAGTACAAATTAAATAAGAGCCATCTCAATTCCAGGAGCATGCACTATTAAGTTGCTCATAGTAGATAACTTTCCTCCAAAATGATCATTAAACTCTAAATTAAGTCCCCTTCATTGGTTAGTGTTTATTAAATCATCTACAACCCATAAAACTCATACGGACGTTATCCTTTATTATATTTATCAGATGATACTTTTCTTACAGAATTGTGTTTTGTCCTGACGTCTTTCATTAATAATACTCATTTCCTTGTACCAAAAAGGAAAATAATCCAGCATTCTGAGTGTCTGTGTTGACGCTGATGTTCCCTACTTGGTGATTTAGAAAAGGTAATCTTTTTTTGTTGTTGTAAAATATAATGGCTAGAAAATTGCATCTTGGTAGTTGTTTCTGTAAGTCATTTAGCATAATTTTTTAGCTTTACTGGTACTTTATGCTTTGATTCCAAGAAGCCTTGTACAAGTTGCCTTATCAAATGGCCAGCTCAGTTAAAGATGTTCTTTTGTGTTGTGTGAATCTCATAGTTTTACTGTACAGAGCTCTTTTTAACTTTGAAAAATCAGCACATTCCACAGAATGCCTGAATTGCATAATTTTCCTTACGTGGCAGTTGAGGGAGAAAAGGAATGGCTTTAAGTCCAGTCCTCACCTGTATACCAGGCTCAGTTCCAGAGCCCCTTACATTTTTTTTCTTTAAACAAAATCACCAGGTACATACATTCCAAATGTATAATCTTTCACATTGTCTCTTTAACTCTTTCAGAGTTAATTGCCATTTTAATGGCAATCTATAGATTTTTTCTTTCTTCTCCAGTTCCATATCATACTTAGTTATGTGTATTGGTACCATAAGTCTAAACCGTTCCTCACTGCAATGCCTTTGGGTCAGTTGCAATACTAGATAGAAAGAAAGAAAATTCAGAATTTGGTATATGATGTGTTTATTCATTCAACATGTTAGAATAGCACCAGCCCAGCCCCATGTCCTTTCCCCTGTATTGTTTGAAAACTCATGCGTCCCCGTGTTAAATAACTGTTCATTTTAATTTCACTTATTTTGAAATATATTTGAAAATTACTGCTCTTCTCTTGAATTTCTTTTAGAAAGTCATCAACCAGCCCAGATATCTAGGAAATTTCCAAATATTCTAGAGTGTTTTTCATCTTTTCCTAGGATATGTTATATAAAACATTCCTCCAGAAATCCAACACTTGCAGCAATCTGAAGAGTGATGATTTCTCTTCTCATTAAATTCTGCAGAATAAATGAAAGGAGTGAATTTCAATTTGATAGTTCATTAGCTTTTATATCTTGAGACTCTTGTTTAACACATTCTTTGAAGCTGAAAAAAAAAACACCCAGTTGAATTGTGCAGTGCATATGTTTGCTGGTTTCACACCCTGAGCCACGGCACAATTTGGTTATATTTAGTTACATACAATTCAATGCAAAGAAATTCCCAGTTACCTAATGCTGTGTGTGTGAGTGCCTATCAGGAACACTAAGGGAATGTCCTAGAGGCTTCTGGCCTCTCCTTCCATACAACCACTCTCTCTTTCCCTCTCCCAGCTATTCAGTTCATAATTTCTTCATTGGCTTTCTTAAATTTCCGAAGTACAAAAGCAATCTTTGTACTAAATGTTGGGATAGTTTTAATACTAATATTTATCTTGTTTCCCCCCCCCAATTTTTCATCCTTTTGTACTGTGTATTAATATTTATTTTTCTCAAACCGCTACTCCATTTTCTTAAAATATTTTCCAGTTAATAACTGGTGGCTTTATTTCCCAGTGAAAGGGAGAAAAACAAGAGAATGCACAATTTAGGGCATGAGGTGAAAGATCCCTGAAAAGAGTGATTAGTTACTGAGAACGAGGCCTGCTCAGGTAACTGATGTAAGGGGTTGAGTTTTCTTTAGCTGACATCGGCCCACTCATGATTCTGCTAAGGCAGTTGTCTGATTTCAGGATCCCTTGAAGGGAAAAGGGAACTTCTAAAAAATTAGATACCTTGATTTTTTTTTTTCTCCCTCTGGGAAAGAATACTTTTAATTACTTAGCAAGAGGATTCTGTTGTACAACTTTTTAAAAATACCCAAACTCTTAAATATCTGATTTTCTTGCTTCAATGACAAGAAAATGAGAGAATGGATGAATGCTGTCGTTTGAACACTGTTTGACTTGCGTGTGTGCATGACTGGTAGAATTTTACATACACGATCCCTGCCTCTTTGTATGGCCAGGCACCAAGCCACTCAATACACATGTGGCCAAATGAGAGTTCAGTGGCCTGTGTTTCTTACTCCCAGATGTAACACTCTTTTTCCCCACTGGTCACCCTGCTGTTGCCACACTGAACTAGAACTGCTCCAGAACAGCCTTCCTCTCTCTTCTAGTGACTTCCATGTAACACAGGCAAAGCCCTTCATTTTAGGAATTTCCTTCTCTCTCAAAAGTGACCAAAATGAATCTTTCCACATGGGCTGCACCTCCCCAATGATGATCATGAGTTTTAACGAAAAAAGCAGATGTTTACAAGTGGCTGAGTGACTCCAGTCAGCTGTCAGGTGTCCCCTTCCCAGCTTCCATCTAAAAGACTACATGTCAGGTGTATTTCCAGAGGAATTTGTTACCAGTTATAAAAACATCTTCATCAACGTGTCCCATTCTTCCCATCTCCATCCTTGGTTTATCATTGGTAGTGTTCTGAAAACTTTAAGAAAAATGAATCATTGAGTAGAACATAAACATTTTAAGTTACATTCCCTTTTCATTGGCAATAAGTTACTATGTAAAATCTTCCATTAAAATGTGATTTTAATAACTATATATTATATATGGAATAAAATATAGGCAACTTAATTATAAGTATATAAATGCATTAAGACTGGTGTCATGAAAGCACAAGAACAAAGCTGGAGATGGTCCCAGAATCCAAGATGACCCAATAGCCTTTTGTATCAATTTGTCCATTTTTGGTATTTTGCATAATGTATGGATCCTCAGTTCAAATGAAGGGAGAAGTTTCTCAATCAGCATCACTTCCTTTCTTTCAACTCCTACCTTTCCCTTACTAAGGAGGTAGTAGAAATTCTATACCGTTTATTTTTAGGAATTCTAATTTTGTCCATGACTTCTCTAATGAAAACAGGTTCTAGAACAAAGGAATTGATTGGCCCAAACAGTGCTGACTACAAAAGAAACATGAGGAAGCAGCCTCTGTAAACACTGACCAATTAGATGTTTCCATAATTCCATGTATTATGTATAGTACACGCTATCAGTGTAAATGTACTGCTTGTTAAGAAAAGTGCAATTTATTGTACATTGTCCCAACAAATGTTTACTTTTATAACAGTTATGAACTTGGATTAGTATCTTGTTTTCATGTGTGAATGAAGCCTTGTGAAATAAACAAATTCAACCAAGAAGGTAACAAGGTGACTGTTTTTTGTGAGTCAGTGATGTTTTCAGTGCTTTGTGTTGCCCCTTTGGCCCCATTAAGCAGTAATAAACACTGATTCTCAAGTCCATATACCTCTTTTTGATTTGTTTCTAGTTGACTTTATAAACATCTGAACCCAATGTTTATGTAACACGTTTTTTTAAAAAAGATTTTATTTACTTATTTATTTGACAGAGATCACAAGTAGGCAGAGAGGCAGGCAGAGAGAGAGAGGAGGAAGCAGGCTCCCCGAGGAGCAGAAAGCCCGATGCGGGGCTCGATCCCAGGACCCTGGGACCATGACCTCAGCCGAAAGCAGAGGCTGTAACCCACTGAGCCACCCAGGCTTCCCTCTCTAACACTTCTTAA